AGTAGAGCACAGACTTATGTGGATTCTAGTCAAAAGCTCTGGCTAGCTCTGCCACAGGGAGGTCTCCAGCAGATATGTGAGGGAGAGTTGTTCACCAGTTTTAGCCAAACGACCTGAACACAGAGAGCCTTCTAGGAGAGCCCCTGCCTTCCTTCCCAGCCCAGCCAGCAACTAAGTCATCTTGTATTTTTATCAGCAACATGGCCTGAGAAGTATAAAAATCTTATAGATCGTTTGATCCAAACTTCCACCCTGCCTCGATGTCCCATCTCCAACAGACACATCCTATCTATGGTTAAATGATTCCAGAGAATGGAGAACATTGCCTCCAAAGGCAACTGATTCCATATTTTGAAAGGTCTCTCTTCTACTAAACTGAAATCTGCCTTCTTTTTTTTTTTTTTTTTTTTTTTTCCAAAAGATGACCGGTAAGGGGATCTTAACCCTTGACTTGCTGTTGTCAGCATCACGCTCACCCAGTGAGCAACCGGCCATCCCTATATGGGATCCGAACCCGTGGCCTCGGTGTTATCAGCACCACACTCTCCCGAGTGAGCCACGGGCCGGCCGGAAATCTGCCTTCTTGAAATGTCCATGCACAAGTCTTGGCACTATCCTTTGAGCCTACATATGGAACGGATGCCCTGGTGAATGTCCCCATACTGGCACCCTGATCACAGCCCTTGCTGCTTTCCTCTGAGCAAGCTCCAGTTGAAAATCCCCCTTTCCAAGTATCCCTTAGAATGGATCTTCACACTCCATATGTGGCCCAAGTGTGCAGAATACACTAGGACTATTATTTTTCTTGTTCTATGATTGAACTTTTGGAAATGCAGTCCAAGATTGCAGTAGCTTTTCTGGCAACTATATCTAGATTCTGCTGGCTCCCATTTAGCTTTGAGTCAAAATCACTGGGGCTTTTTTACATGAGAAGCACTATTAAGCTCTGTCTTTCTGTGCTATATGCATGTGATTTGTTTTTTAACCTAAATGCAGGATTTACTAAACTTTAAGCAACCATTTATTGGTTACCCACTATACGCCAGGACTATGCTCCATGCTTTCATGTAAATTTCATGTAAATCATTCAAAGCTTCATGAAATCCTCTGAGGATGACATTTCCTCTGTTTTACAGATGGCCTGGTAAGGCTGGAAGGAATGTCCCAGCCACCCCACTAATGAACATTACAGTCAGAATTCTTATGTAGGGCTGGAGGCTTGTGCTCTTCTTAAGCATTGTACTGTCAGTTTTTAAGGATCTCTTTGAATCCTAATACTGATACGCATTGTGTTTACTTACAGTCCTTGTTGGTTTTGTGACATCTGCGAGTTTAACTTGCTTTCTAGTTCTCTGCACTGTTTACCGAACGTGGATGGTAGATAGACTACTCTAAAGCTGCATTTTTCAGACCGTAAACAAAACCAATTTAGTGGGTCTCAACCAGCTTTTAAAAAAATGAAATGGAGTAGAAAATTATCAAAGTCCATCACATGTAACAAGAACAAATTTTGTTTAGAAAACATTTATTGGGGCCAGCCTGTGGCTCACTCGGGAGAGTGCGATGCTGATAACACCAAGGCCACGGGTTCGGATCTCATATAGGGATGGCCGATTTGCTCACTGGGTGAGCGTGGTGCTGACAACACCAAGTTAAGGGTTAAGATCCCCTTACCGGTCATCTTTATAAAGAAATAAAAAAATTTTAAAAAAAGAAAACATTTATTGCATGAGCACAGGACAGAGATGTATGGTTGTGTGTGGGAGTGCATGTGTTAGGTCTTGATGTAAATTGTTTTTATGACTGTGGTTCATGGTCTAATAGCTTGAAGACTTCTGCTCTAAAAAAAATGTTTTGGGGTGACTTAGATTCTTTTCAATGGAACATTACGATTTTACTTAATTTCGTGTGAACATAAATCTGCATGCCAACTCATTGATCTAGCTCCTTTTGTAGTTAACCAACAACTACAAAAAAGCCAGTAAAATTCAAACCAACATTATTCTGGGAGGACGACCTCTGAGTAAATCAAAATTGCTGCTTTCAGCAGAAGCATGGCACAGACTTGACATTCTGGGCCCCTTGAGTTCTGCATGCCACCTTGCAGTATGCTAGTGCTGAGTGACACGGTCCTCCCACTGCTTCTGAAGAGATGTCATCCTTCACTTTGCACAGATGTATCATGAATTAAAGGTTAGGTTAGAATTAGGTTGTCCTAAGTAGCCCACACAGTTACAGTGGTGCACTTGCAAACACACACAGAAGCCCTGAAATGTGCAGGAGATGGTTAAGCAAGAGTCAGCCAGTGATCTGTGTTACATTTTCATTTCTTTCTTTCTTTCTTTCTTTTTTTTTTTTTTAAAAAGATGACCGGTAAGGGGATCTTAACCCTTGACTTGGTGTTGTCAGCAGCACGATCTCCCAGGTTAGCTAATCGGCCATCCTTATATAGGATCTGAATCCGTGGCCTTGGTGTTATCAGCACCGCACTCTCCCGAGTGAGCCACAGGCCGGCTCTTACATGTTCATTTCTACAAAGGTGATCATCACAATGAAAACACAGGAATAAAAAGGCCTCTGAGGAGATGCTTGTGCACTCTGGTCCTGGGACACACTTCAAGTCTGAGACACCCTGGTGGACCTAGTGGTAGCAAACTCCTCAGCACGTATATGGAGGCACACTCAGCTTAGTCCCCAAACTAGACGATCACCCTGCCCATATTTTTTCCTTCTTGTTCTCAAGAATATTATGAAATTTTCGGCCAGATACCTGTTGAAATAACATGCATGGTTGTACCATTCTCCTGAGGTGTCCATCCAAAACACTATAAAAGTGAAACACTTGTTCAGCATGACTTGTTTCTTGTGACTCCGTGCTTATTCAGGAGGATCTGTGATCTCTCCTTCCTTCCTTCAGTAACTGTAGTGCTGTTCAATCATTTCTTCTAGGATTTTCTCAGGGATCAATGTCTGTAATATTTCAGGATCTGCATCTACAGTTTTACCCAGAGTTGCCTTCTGGCTCTCCTCACACGATTTGCAAGTGTGTCTGCAAAGTTTCCCTTGCTCTGTGGAGTGCAGTTTGGACTAGGACCTGGTAACCATTTAAGGCACTTCCTGCCAGCCCATCACCTGTCCTGGGCTTCAGTTCCCCCTTTACCTTTTCTTTACCTTTTCCCAGTTAAGAATCATTCTCCCAAAGAGAGAAGCCAGAGGCCAGCCAAAACGGTTCTGCTTTCTCCCCAACCTCTATTTTCTTTTTGCCAGATGCCCAACAGGGGCTCCAGTTCCTGAGCCTTTTTGTCTTTTTGAGTCTCCAAAGTAACACCTCTTTTATTTCTGTCCCTCCTGAAATGTACTTTCCAAAAGTCTAGGGTAAAAGCCTGACTCTACCCAATGATCTTTTCCTTAGTGATTTATGAACTCTAAAGTGGCACAGACCTGTTTCCTTATCATCTCTTTTAGATCAGACTTAAGTGCACAGTAGAGATCCCTTTCATTACTTCCTCAAACTTCTTTATTTTCCTTTATTTAAAAAAGATATAATAGGGGCCGGCCTGGTGGCGCACTGCTACAGTGCGCCGCTTGGGAGCACGGTGGCACTCCCGCCGCGGGTTCGGATCCCACATACAGACCGGTTCCCGCTCACTGGCTGAGCGAGGTGTGGCCGCAACACCAAGGGTTGCGATCCCGTTGCTGGTCCCGGTCCGGTACGGGCGCGAGAGTGAGGGTTGCGATCCGTTGCCAGACACGAAAAAAGACAAAAAGGAAAAAAAAAAAGATATAATAGAATATATTCGTTGTAGGAAAAAATAGAAAAACAAGGAGAAGAATTCTTTAAATCAGGCGAAATTCTATCACCAAGAAATACTGGCTTTTATCATTTCAGCTTTTTTTTTTCACTTTTACTATTTGGCTGTATTCATATGTAGAAATATATACACATTTAATGAAAAATAGAATTTACTCTATTTTCATTCTTCTTGTTATAGTCAGTCATTAGCTCTCCCCAGTCTTGGTGATACCTTTGGGGCCATACCTATGGTCCTGTGTGAAAGTGTAAATTCACTTAAAGAAATTACCAGTATAGGGCTGGCCAGTTAGCTCAGTTGGTTAGAGTGTGGTGCTGATAACACCAAGGTCCAGGGTTCAATGCCCCTGTACTGGCCAAATTGTGCAATCTTCTGGGTGGAGAAGTGCCCTCGAATTCGAGCTGTGGACATGGAAGTCTCACAGGAGGAAATCTGAGGCCTGCCCTAGAATGCCTTTCCCTCCTGGCATATTATATATGGCCAGGCGATGTTTTATAAATTGTTATTTATCACAGTATCTGTGAGGTCCCATTCTCAGACTTACCGAAAGGTGAAGAACTGAGGCGACACCTGCTCAGATGCACATCCTCGGCAGTGCCTCCCTGCCCTCCGTGAGGTTCCATTAATCTTGAGATTAATGAGGGCAGGGCTTACCCCACGTCTTCCTAAGGAAATAATCACACATTTGCAGAAATATTTAGCCACACATTATTTTTTAATGACTACATAGTTTTCCGTTATCCTGATATGCTGATTATTATACAATGAATACCCTGTTAACTGCATATTTAGGTTGTTTCCAATCCTGTAGCCAAATAAATTCCTAAAAGTGGGTAAAAAATATGCACATTATTAAAAAATGTATTATATTCTGTATCAGAGATTGGCAATCTAGGGTCTTCAGGTCAAATCTGGCCCATCCACCTGTTCTTGTAAGTAAAGGTTCATTGGAACATAGACATGCCCCTTTGTGCTGTATTTGCACTGCAGTCGCAGAGTTGAGTGCCCAAGACAGAGCTGTCTGGCTCTTTACAAAAAAAGTTTGTTGACCCTTCAGATACATACAAATACAACAGCAACCACAACAACAAAACACTGATGCAAAATAACAGTGATTTGATGATTTGAAAAAGGGGCATATAGCAGAAAACTGGGAATGAGATTTGTGTGTTTATTAAGAGATGACATATGAGGTTTGTTTGTTGGCTTTTCAGTCCTGGCGCAGGCCAACCAGCTGTGGTCCAGCAGGTGCAGGTGGTGCCCCCCAAGGCCGAGCAGCAGCAGGTGGTGCAGATCCCCCAGCAGGCTCTGCGGGTGGTGCAAGCAGCATCCGCCACCCTCCCCACCGTCCCCCAGAAGCCCTCCCAGAACTTTCAAATCCAGGCGGCTGAGACGACGCCTACTCAGGTACCACGCACCCTCTGCTTCTCCTCCCTCTCCTCCGCTTACCCCTCCACTTGCTTTTGAAAATGATGCTGATTATCCTCTAATTTGATGTGAGCCTTGGGAGAAAGTATTGTATCTTGGGGGGGAGTAGCAGTAAGTGGCCATTTCTGCCTGACAAACAGGCTCTCTTCAGTTTATAGGGCCAAGTACAGCATATCTTTAGATATCAGATAAAACAGGCATATTTTGGTCCTTTTTCTTCATGGGTGTTTTCTGGGAGATGAGTTGGAGATGGATATATACTTTTCTTTTTTTGGTGGCTGGCTGGCATAGGGACCTGAACCCCTAACCTTGGCCAGCCCTATACTTTTTAATAATAAATTTATTATTTTTTATAGAACTACATACTCAGAACAGTAGCAAGAATGAAAAAACTTCATTCAGAACCATAGAATTTGATAAAGCAAGAAAATGAGAAAAATGCTGGTCTTTGTTAATAACAAGAAGAATAAAAAGTAAGAATAAGCAGCCGAGCTGTATAGCGGGAACATTTAGGCTAGATTCATGTGGGATGTTAAATTCAAGATGAATGTTCTTATTTTTGTCATTTTTCAAGGTGCTGTAATGCTGTGGAATCTATTTGACTCTATGAGGCAGGTTTTATTCTTTGTGCATGCCAACTAAATGCCAGAGGTTGTGCCCATGTTGCAGGTGGAGAGCCCGGAACTCAGAAAAGTTATCTGAGATTTCTTAGGGCAGAAATGACGAGAGCCAGGATTCAACTCAAATTTCTAACTTCAAACCCCACACTCTTTTCCATTTTCTACCTTGACTCTTTGTGTCTTATGTGCAGCAGGTGCTACAGTTGAANGTTGTTTCCAATCCTGTAGCCAAATAAATTCCTAAAAGTGGGTAAAAAATATGCACATTATAAAAAAATGTATTATATTCTGTATCAGAGATTGGCAATCTAGGGTCTTCAGGTTAAATCTGGCCCATCCACCTGTTCTTGTAAGTAAAGGTTCATTGGAACATAGACATGCCCCTTTGTGCTGTATTTGCACTGCAGTAGCAGAGTTGAGTGCCCAAGACAGAGCTGTCTGGCTCTTTACAAAAAAAGTTTGTTGACCCTTCAGATACATACAAATACAACAGCAACCACAACAACAAAACACTGATGCAAAATAACAGTGATTTGATGATTTGAAAAAGGGGCATATAGCAGAAAACTGGGAATGAGATTTGTGTGTTTATTAAGAGATGACATATGAGGTTTGTTTGTTGGCTTTTCACTGAGAAACACAGTCCTAAATAATCCAGGAATTAAAAATAACCCCAATCAAAATCACAGCAGGATTTTTTTTTAACAGAACTTTTTCCCCCCTGAATCATGAGTGCCACCATGACCACCCTGTCACTTCCGAATGCTTTCATTCCTACACACAAGGACATTCTGCCTACCACAGTACAACCATCACACCCAGGATATTAGCAGTGAAACACACTATCTAGTTCAGAGACCCCATTCAGGCTTCACCACTTGCCTCAATAACTCCTTTGTGGCAAAAAGATATGGTCGAGGATTACCCATCACATTTAGTTGTCGTGTCTCTTTAGTCTTTTTTGATCTTCCTCATTCTTTACTTGACTTTCATGACCTTGACACTTTTGAAGGCTTCAGGTCAGTTATTTTGTAGAATGTTCCTCAATTTAGATTTGTATGATGTATCCTCACGATCAGCTGCAGGTTACTCATTTTTTGCAGAACTTTCACAGAACTGATGCTGTGTTCTCACTGCATCCTAAAAGGTATTGCAGGATTTCAATTTGTCCCACTACTGGGAAGGTTAAACTGATGGCTGGCAGATTTCTGCACCTTAAGTTTACTTTGTTTCCTCTTTGTAATTAATTAGTATTATGTAGGGAGATACTTTGAGACTATGTAAATATCCCATTCCTCGTTCAGACTTTTGTTTTGCACTTAATAACTTTTTTTTTTTTTTTTCTTTTTTGGTGGCTGGCTGGTATGGGGATCCAAACCCTTGACTTTGATGTTAGAACATCACACTCTAACCAGTTAATATCTCTTATATGATATTTTATTTAACTTTTTATTTTATAATTTATTTACACCTACAGAAATGTTGCAAACGTAGTACAGAGAGTTTCCTAGTTCCCCCACTATTGGACATCTTACATTACCATGGTGTTTTCATAACACCAGCAGGGTTCAGTCTAGCTTTCTCCCTTTCCATATTTGTAACTCCCTGCTCTGACAGTGAGAGACCTCACGCCCACTCTCCTTAATAAACTTCCTTTCTGGGTCGATCCCCTGTGCATGTAACCTGTCTCCACAGCCGTTTCAGCCCTCCCACGTGGACACCCTCCTCAGCCTGCTCTGCCCAGCTGCTACTGCCACTCCCCCCACAGACACCCTCCTCACCCCACTCAGGCTCTAACATGAGTATTTTCAAGGCTTTTGACACATATTCCCACATTTCCTTCCAGCAAGGCTAGCCCACGTCGTACGCTCACTCTAACGTACAAGCGAGTGCCTATTTCCTGCTGTCTCACCAACAGTGAGCATTATTTTATTTTATTTTTCCATCTTTGCCAATCTGAATTGGAGATAAATTCTTTCTCATTGATATGTAGCTCTTAAGGACTAATATGAACGTGTTTACATTTGTTTGATGGTCATTCACACTGTACTGCCTTCTAGTTCTCCAGTTTTGAGGTTTGGCAATTATATTTTTCCATGCCGAGTAAATTAAATGTTTGTTTTCACATCAACAGTCAACATTTGAACATTTGCCATCTTATTACAGGGATGCCATCAGCTGTTTGTTGACACCAACAGTGTATAAATGTAGGTTTGGGCTAATTGAAGGAGAAATTGGGCTGACAGAGAGGTGCCCCCAGTTCTGTCTTGGGCAAGATTTGATGGTGCCAGGAGCTCAGTCTCTCTGACGGCACTGACTTTTTCTCTCTGGCCCCTCCCAGGTCTATATCCGCACATCTTCTGGTGAGGTGCAGACGGTCCTTGTCCAGGACGGCCCTCCAGCAACAGCTGTAGCCACCTCCACCACCACCTGTAGCAGCCCTGCATCCCGGGCTCCCCATCTGAGTGGGACCAGCAAAAAGCACTCGGCCACAATTCTTCGAAAAGAGCGTCCACTGCCAAAGATTGCCCCTGCTGGAAGCATCATCAGTCTCAATGCAGCCCAGTTGGCGGCAGCTGCCCAGGCAATGCAGACCATCAACATCAATGGCGTCCAGGTCCAGGGTGTGCCCGTCACCATCACCAACACTGGCGGTGAGGGAAGGCACTGCGACCAGGCTGTTGGCAGCAGTACCTGTGTACCCAGCACATGGGAATGGCAGGCCAACCCCGGGGTTCCCAGTAACAGCAGTGAGGAGACTGCCTATCATTTGCCTGGTCCCTTTTAACTTGAGAGCACATCCACATACATCTTCCTAGTTTGTCCTTACAGTAGCTCTGCAAGAAAGGTTTAGACACCTGTTGTCCCCCACCTGACAGCTGGAGACCTTGAATATGATGGAGAAAACAAATATGCTCAGGAAAACTATCCAACTTTCATACAAATGCATATTAGTTTGGTAGAGACCAGGGACAGGTGTTCAAGGTAGACTTCAGGTAAAGGAAGTTGTAGAAGCCTTCTCAGAGGAGAAAGCCTTGAGTTAAGGTCAAAAGAAAAGGAAGGAACCTTTGGCAGTGGGAATAGCTTGTGCTGCTGCTGCTGCACCTCAGTTCAGTGGTGACATTTACACTGTGAAAGCCGCCTTGCAAACCATCAGAGGAAAAATTGGAGCTACCTAGTAAAAATGGTTCCTTGAATTTTTTACCTGGGTGAAGGGCAGTTTTCAAGGTAGTGGGAGCTCTCTGAATCTCCTCTCATGATCCTAAGTGAATTTATGGCACTTTATGCATTTGGTTTTCCCACTTGAGGTGACCCTAAGGGGAGGAAAAGGCATCCTAGAGGACTTGATTTTTTTTAATAGAAATGTACCATTTTATTAGAGTCTTACAGATGTGAAAATAGTATCTCAAAAAGGAAACTAGACTACCAGCCTCCACCTACAGAATTGGGGGAAGGTAGAGGGCAGGCAATTTCTTGGCTCACTTTAGGCCAGTGGGAAGGTATGAAAACAGAACCAATCTAAAAATGGCCGATGTTTTAACTTAAAAGGCTGTAAAGAATGGGGGGTTCCTGAAGACCCAGCCACCCCTTCTTGAATGCCCAATAAGGATACCTTTCCAAAACTACTAAGCAGGCACTTGGCTTTTCAGGATTTTGTCTTCTAGCTGCACAAAAGTATTCCTTCCACCCAGACCTAGCACCCTTTGTGGTTCAAAATTAAGAATTGAGGAGGGATGGGTGGTGGCAAGGCAGCTGCTAGAAAAGCTTACCCAGCATGGCTGCCCTGGGCTCAGGGCCCTGATTCCTGTCTAAGAGGACTTGATTTTTCCCAGAGCCCATAGAACTATTCCTTCACTCTTATTAACAAAAATCCCTGGAGACTTTCCTGAAAGCAGAGTTGGTATCTCACAAGGGCCTAAGGCTGGAGGAGATTCAGGAAGAAACTCTGCAAGATAACCCAAGACAAGATCCTTCCTGACTGAAATCATGTGGACAACATCCTGTGTACATAGTGGTTCAGGACACTAGCTCTGAAGTTGGCTGCCTAGGTACAGGTTTGGGTTCCACCACTTAATAGCTGTGTGACCTTGATATGTTATTGAGCCTCAGTTTCTTCATCTGTACAATGGGCATAATATCACTTTCATAGGGTTGTGAAGATTAAATGAGTTAATACATATAAGGTCTCTAAGATGGTATCTGGCACATAATAGGCTCTCAAAAAATCACGGACCCCCTACTGGCCAACTACCAACAAAACAAACAAAATCTTAGCTGCTGTGATTATCATGCTTATCATGTGCAGAGGGACGTAGACTTGCCCTGAGGTTTCAGGCTTCCTAACTCTGCACAGTGCTCTCCTTGTCCCTACAGGGCAGCAGCAGCTGACGGTGCAGAATGTTTCTGGGAACAACCTGACCATCAGCGGGCTAAGCCCCACCCAGATCCAGCTGCAGATGGAGCAGGCTTTGGCTGGAGAGACCCAGCCCGGGGAGAAGCGGCGCCGCATGGCCTGCACGTGTCCCAACTGCAAGGACGGGGAGAAGAGGTAATTTGAGGAGAGGGGCCTGACCACCAGCCTGGCATGTGCCATGTCCCCACACCCTCCTGGGGACAGTTGTTCAGGGCTCTGAGCCAGCACAGACTGAGAGGAAGTGCTTGGCTCCATGCCACCTCACCTCCTACCTTCTCTGTGCTCTCTGACCTGAACCTACATCCTCACTAAATCCTGCTCCTGACCTCGCTTCTACCTCCTCCCTCTCCTCTTGCCATTTCCTCCACCCCACCCTCAATGCAATTCTCAGGTCTGGAGAGCAGGGCAAGAAGAAGCATGTGTGCCACATCCCCGACTGTGGCAAGACTTTCCGCAAGACGTCCTTGCTGCGGGCCCACGTGCGCCTGCACACCGGCGAACGGCCCTTTGTCTGCAACTGGTTCTTCTGCGGGAAGAGGTTCACACGGAGCGACGAGCTCCAGCGGCATGCTCGCACCCACACAGGTCAGCCCCCCACCCTCCCAGCATGCTCACACCCACACAGGTCAGGCCCCCCAACCCCCCCCCAGCACACTCGTACCCACATAGGTCAGCCCACACCCTGGCACACTAGCACCCACACAGGCCAGCCCCCCACTGTGCTCTCTGACCTGAACCTACATCCTCACTAAATCCTGCTCCTGACCTCGCTTCTACCTCCTCCCTCTCCTCTTGCCATTTCCTCCACCCCACCCTCAATGCAATTCTCAGGTCTGGAGAGCAGGGCAAGAAGAAGCACGTGTGCCACATCCCCGACTGTGGCAAGACTTTCCGCAAGACGTCCTTGCTGCGGGCCCACGTGCGCCTGCACACCGGCGAACGGCCCTTTGTCTGCAACTGGTTCTTCTGCGGGAAGAGGTTCACACGGAGCGACGAGCTCCAGCGGCATGCTCGCACCCACACAGGTCAGCCCCCCACCCTCCCAGCATGCTCACACCCACACAGGTCAGGCCCCCCAACCCCCCCCCAGCACACTCGTACCCACATAGGTCAGCCCACACCCTGGCACACTCGCACCCACACAGGCCAGCCCCCCACCTCCCACAGCACCCTCACACCCACACAGATCAGCTCCCCCATCCCCCACAGCACCCTTGCACCTGCACAGGCCAGCTCCCTGTCTCTCCCCCCAACCCCACTCTACTGCCCTCAGTGACATCAAAAATTCCTGACTTTGCCAAGGAACTGCCACACTGAGCAAGAGCTACTGAATGTCCAGGGACTACATGGGAAATTCTTTCAAGCCATTCCTTTATCACAGTATTTCCCAAAGTAATGTCATTGTATTATATAGCTTTGGTGACTTCTGACATCTTTGCACTTTACAGATTACCTAAATTAATGCTGGTCAGGACTCTGGGAGGCTACTTTGATTATGTCCATTTTACTGAGGCGTGGAGAGTTGGCCAGGTCACACAGCTAGTGACTGGGGGAGCTGGGATCAAACCCAGGCCCTCTGACTTCCAAGGCCACGCTATTGATCACCATTCCATGCTGCCCTTCCTACTGTCGTGTACCTGATGATTTTCCTTAAATTATTCCATCTTTTTTACTCATTTATGTTCTAAGCAATATTATTTTTGATATCACAGGTTTGCTATCATAGTTATAGGTTTTGATGTGCTGGCAAATAAATGCAACACTGTTGGAAAAATGTTCACCCAACTACTACCTGAAATTGTCGTAGGTGTCCCCAGTGGTCCATGGCACACATTTTGGCAAACACTGCTGGAATGAATGCCCCCAGCAAGCAGACACCTGTCCTGGGACTGTGGCTGGGAGACCTGTGACCCAAAGCTCTGTCTCCTGGCTAGTGTGGTGGGAAAGGTCATACCCACCACCTCCAAGGCGGAAGAGTAAACTCTGCACAGAACAGCAGCTGACTAGCCTGAGTCAGTATGGTTCAGACTAAGTGCTCAGGGCTGGCAAGATCAGAGAGGAGTGGGGCTTCCCTGCGAGGGGAAAGATGTGGATTCAGGCTTAGAGTCAGAGGGATGAAGACCAGAAGAAAGAAGGCAGACAGCCCTATGTGGGAAGACTCCTAGGTGCAGGGGCTCAAGTACAGGCATCTTGGGCAAGGGAGAAGGAAAGGGAACAAAGTAGACTGGAGAGGTCAAAAGGGGGCAGAGAGAAATGAGAACTGATGAAAGGGTCTGGGTCAGTATGACAGGGAGCAAATGTGTAAGAGGAGGTGGGTGGAGTGCGCGACAAGCGATGTCAGCTCTATCGGGTGCCCCTCACACTTGCCTCTCCTTTGGGCCTGGGACAGTGTCTGTATGTGGGCTATGTAGGTGATGGGCATCTCCTCTTCCCAGGGGACAAACGCTTCGAGTGTGCCCAATGTCAGAAGCGCTTCATGAGGAGTGACCACCTCACCAAGCATTACAAGACCCACCTGGTCACGAAGAACTTGTAAGGCCATCTGCGGCGGAAGGCCCCGAAGATGCAATTCCCATCTGTGCCCTGCCTGGGCCCCTGGCAGAAAGGAGCCCCACGGCTGCTCAGTGCCCACCCTCAGCCCCCTCCTGGCCTGTGACTGTGTCCCCACAGGAAAGGGCGCTGCTCCTGTACTGTCCTCCTTCTGAAGCCCCGTGGCTCCACCTGGCCCTTCCCTTCCCACCACGAGCTCCTGGCCTGCCCTGACCATGGACACTTGCCGTGCCCAATGAGACGTTCTAAACCAGGACGCCTGGGAACCCTTATTTCCAAAGGAAAACATACATTTCACTCCGTCGAGGAGCAAAGTGAGCCCCACACTCCCTACCCCCAACACTGCCGGAGTTGCATTGTGCCATGCCCCCGTCCCCAGCACCTCCCTGGCCCCGCCGGCCACTGTGGACGCCCAGGGCCCTACACCCAGGGCTCCCTCTGGCACCCACCTCTGGAGAAGGCAGGAGGCCACCTCCACTCCATGCACCCCAGCCCTGCCACACTCTCCTCCAGCACATTCCAACTTTCTATTTAAAAAGTAATGAGTGATACCCACGGACTCCTCCCGATTCCCTCTTTTTCTATGGAGAACGTTGCCTTATACTCTCTACTTCAGATGATGAACACTGTGTACTGTGTGTGCTTTAAAGAGGTTTTATTTAATTGCTCCCTTCTTCCTTTCCTTGTTACTCACCTCCCCCATGCCTGCTTTCAGTTCAGGGTTCTGGGGGCGATGATGAGCATATGAATTTTTCTGTCACTCTAGTCGTTCTCTTTTCTAAATGCCACAGCATTTCAACTCATATCTGTATTCAGATATAAACACCTTCATGTCCTGAACCCCCTCTCTGTCCCCTTCATCTCACCCACCCAGCCCAAGCTCTACTTGTGTACAGTGTATATTGTATAATAGACAATTGTGTCTACTACATGTTTAAAAAAACATATTGCTTGTTATTTTTAAGGCTTTTAAATTAAACAAAAATCCAACTTTATTTTTAGTTGTAACTGCTTGAGGTATGTTTTATGAATTAAGTGACAGATTTGTTATCCTTTATTAACAGTGTACTTTGTTGGTCAGTGCTGGGCTGACAAAAATTTTTTTCTTGCTAATAAATTTAGTTGCCTGAGGCAAAATCTGCAACTTGGCAGTTTGGCTTCCTTTGTCTTTTACCTTGGAGAGCTCGAAAGGTGACTCCAGAGGAGTGAACCATGATCTCTCAGAGCCATCCGCAATGGGACCAAGGTAGGACCTAGCCCTCTTGTCCCTCAGCAAATCCAGGCCACAGCCTGAAAGGGGCTGCAGCCACATGTACCACAGGGCTTGGCCACATGCTCCCACAGTATCTCCAGGGACCTCAGGGGCCAGGGTCTGAGGCAGGTGTTTCTGCTTTTCTGTTTTATGAGGCAGTTTTGCTTATACCACAAAGCGGATCCCACAGAGTCAAGTCACAGCAATGACTTCCTCAACCGGCAAATTAACTCCTCCACTCATCTCCCTTACCCCTGGAGGAAGGTTTTGGCCTCAACACCCATTTGTAAGTAGCTTGGAGAAAGGAGTCAAAGGGGCCCTCTCTCAGTCACTTCCAGAAGGCTACAGAGTCTGGAGGAAACACAGTTCCCCAAGAGCCAAGGTCACTTCCTGAGGTGTAGGGCCAGGCAGCTGGAGGCCCAGTAGCCCAGCTGTACCCAAGATTGGACCCTGGATCCTATTTTTCTTCCATCCCCTTGCCCAGCACTCCAGGGAGGGCAGCGAGTTGATATGCGCCTTTTAGTTTCAGCAAGTGCTGTAGGTCTGAAATTTTGGTGCGGACTTTTGTTTGTTTTTTTGGCAGAGCTAATAGAAAGGCAGGTTGTGATGTTGTGCAGACTGAGATTGGAGCTAGCTCAGTACATGTGTTTATGCCTCACAGGGGCCTGAAGAGCGTCCAGGCTGAAGAGAGCCAGTCAGCCAAAGCACGTAGAGAACAGTATGTGCTTTTTACTCACCCTCAGGAGGACGCAGCCGTGGTCGCTATTCTGCTCAGGAGTGGTGAGGCTCGTTGGGAGCTGTCCATTCCCTTAGTCCATTTCCTTTGTCACCAGTCACCTGCATCTGCGAGCAAACAGCTTTTCCTTAGAGCCAGTCGGTCCTCACATGGATGAAAAAATAGAAAGGACACAGACCTCAGATGGCTCCAGCTTCTCTGCCCTTGATCATTTCTTTGTTAACAGGCAGGGAGACCTTTCCTAGCCATACTTAAGCCCTTTGGCACTACCAGACCACCAGGTGAATCCACCAGCTTGGAGGTCTCTTCACCAGCCCCTCAGCCCTGCCCCTCATCGCTGCACTGGCAGCAGGGGGAAGACGGGAGGTGCATTTAATGATTTCTCATGCATGGACTCCACGCCTGCCAAATTGCCTTGCTGTGTTCTGAATAAGGGCATTAGTGGAGAAGGGGAATCCTAACAATCTTCTTTCCGCCACATGTTTCCCTTGGCTTTGCTCTCAGGCACAAAGAATGGTCCTCTCCTGAGAGCTGATTCCAAGTCATGTGCTCTATGCTTCGAATGCAGAAACTGACCTGACCCCTCAGCACCGTTTGGAAATGAAGGTGCCAGCTGCAGCTGGGCAGAACAAGCATGCTGGCATGCAGATCGCCCTTCTCCAGTGAGACACACGGGCTCCAAAGTTATTCTCCCTGGCCACGTGATGGCAACAGGAAGGAAAAGAAAGACCTGGTGGCAAATTAGCCCTCATTTGGCTCTAATCGAGCCTTTATTTCAGAGTTGCGGGGGCAGGGACTATTGAGGGTGTGATGCAGCCTAAGCTCCTCCTAGGCAAGAGACACCTACTGGACAACGGATTGGCCCTGATGAAAATCTGGGGGGCTGGCCACACCCAGCAGCTCCAGAGTGGGGGCCTCACAACCTGGGTGGGTTCCTCCTCTGCCCCCTTCCTTCCCCAGGGTCATCTGAACCAAAGGCTACAGCTCATGCCTCCTCCTCTCTGCTCCACTGACACTTAACACTGCAGTTCAGGGGCCGGCCCGTGGCTCACTCGGTAGAGTGCGGTGCTAATAACACCAAGGCCCTGGGTTCGGATCCCACATAGGGATGGCCAGTTCGCTCACTGGCTGAGCGTGGTGCTGACAACACCAAGTCAAGGGTTAAGATCCCCTTACCGGTCATCTTTTAAAAAAAACAAACAAACAAAAAAAAAAAAACCCACTGCAGTTCATTATCCCAGATACCAGGATTACATGCCTGAAAGAAAGAGGGGCTGGGGAGGATTCCTCTCCTGAAGGCAAATCCAGGCAAAGTACATTTTTTTTGTTGTTTTTTAACCAAACCAGCAGCAGGGCTCCACCCTTCCTTCAAATCACACAGTTCATCTTTACAACCATCTTTTGAGCGTTCTCATGAGGCCTCACACTTGTTTGGTGATGTTGCTGAGGTTACAGCCAGCCACATGCCTTGGTGACATATTTGGAGGAAGACAGAATGGGCCCAGGCTGGGTGGGTAGAGCCCCTGAGCAGATGCAGCGGGCCTGATCTGAGTGGCAGAGGATGGGGCGTTTTTGATCCCCAAACCTGAAAACCCTTTGAAGCTGCCCCTGCCATGACTAGAAATTTGGCTGAAGAAGGTAAACTGTAGATTATTTAGATTCTGAATAAAAATGAAGCCTCTTCTCTGCCTCCTCAGCCCTAGTCTGTTCTCAGCTCCTTCACCACCAGAACCTTCCTGAGCAGTGGTCTGGGACCCCTCCCCTTCCTCATTTGGCTCATCAGGAGTCCCTTCCTCCCTCCCATTTTCACAGCCCTCCTAGCCAGCCCTTCCTCCTGCCCTCCAGACCCCTCCTCCTCTCCAGCTTGGAGGTAGATGCTGTCGTGCATCTCGATTAAACACTAGCCCACCACAACTCAGGTGCCTTGGGGATCAGGAGGAAAAGAGTTTCCAACCATAAGGAAAACAGAGCAAACACCATGATAGGTGTCAATGCTCCTTGACCTTAGGACAAAAATATTGGGGAGTGTGTGACTGCAAAACTGGGACACAGCCCCCACCAAAGGGGGCACCCCACTTGGCTTTGGACAGTTGGTGCTGTGCAAGAATGCCAGCTCTTTTGGTTTTTGTAAGAGAAGCCAGAAATGTAGAGTTTTGTGTGAAGTCACCCAATCTTTAAGTGTTGGCTCAATAGTTTAAAAACGCAGCAGGAACAGTTTCAGCCCTCCAGCTAGCAGTTTGTGAACTTGGCATCAACCGTCCCCTCTTCTCTAGCCAGTTACATCCTCTCTACCCCCTGACAGTCCCTACCCCTCAGTCCTCTCTTCCCCAAGTTACAGGGTCACAATGGCCAAAACAGAGTTTAACCTGCTGCCCAAGGGATGATCAAAATGGGAGACAACTGTCCAAAGTAGGTGGAACAGCCCCTGGTTACACCACCAGGCTCAGTGTCCCAAGGATCAAGTGCCTGATGCTTCTGCTCCTTCCCCTGCCTGTGAGGAGAAGAGGACTCTCAGGTCCTCTTCCACACCAAGCCCAAGACACACTGACCTCTGGGAAAGCCCACCCAGCTACCTCGGATGGCAATGACCACCACAATGAGCAGGCAAACAAGCTTCTCATGGCGGTGGCATCAGCAAAAATGCATTGCCCAATAGCGGAAGAGCAGGCCACAGACCCCCTGGAGAAGAAGCTGTGAGCATCCACTGTGTCATCAGCCTGGGCTTGTCAGGTGACACCTGTGACAGTTCATTGGTCTGCAGTTGTGTGGTATAGGCCCCTGAGTGAGAGGTCAGCTCTACTTAGGCCTACTGCTCTCCTGTGGGATGGAAAGAGGGCCCAGTCATTAATCTGCCCACCTGCCCCTAGCCCCAGCCTCCCCTGGAGCTTGCCTCAGTCTCTTCCTTACTTCCAGTTCCTAGAGGAGCTTGGCCATGATGTCAACTGAGCACAGGCACAAGGTGACCTTGTCCCCTCACCCTACCCCTGGAGGCCTCAGGGTCAGAGGGGGCTAGATCCACTCTCTACCACCAGCAGTGCCCACACCGGGGTCCTATCAGGCAGTGCGTCCTACACATTGTCCTCCCACAGACAGATAGTCTCATTGAGCACAGCAGCCCACCCCATGCCAGGTAGACCTTGAGGAGACTGGCCCAAAGCTTATGGACTAATGACAACTGGGAGGCCTCAGCAGGGGACACTCTGGGCTCTCTAGGTGATGGTGGAGAAGTGGGCTGAGGGTGGGCACTGATTTGGGTTCAGGAAGAAGCCCCATTTCAGATCTCTATGCATGTGTGCACGCATGTGCGCGCGCGCGCGCGCACACACACACACACACACACGTCAGGCCAGCAGCAGCCTCCTTTACCCCAGGCAACAGGAAATATGGCAGAGGTTTTGCAGTGCACACTGCCCTAAGGAAAACTCACTTGCCCAAGGCCAACCCTATCTCCTTTCCTGTCCCCAATACCAGGTTTGCTGCATCATTCCCAAAGTGGTGTGGATCCCTCTATTTCCCCACACCACACCCATTCTTAAGTGGCAGAGAGTAGACAAAACAGTTAAAAGACTGAGAAATGGAGACTGGCTAGTTATATCACTTGGGAGAGCATGGTGCTGGTAGCACCAAGGTCACAGGTTTGGACGCCTGAACCAGCCAGCCATAAAAAAAAAAAAAAAAAAAAAAAAAAACTAAAATTGCTTAAGCATAATAAAAAAAACTTTTAAAATTGAGAAATGGGATAAAGAAGTGAAAAACAAAAGGTAAATGGAGCGAGATCACCCGCCTGGCAAAATTGCAGTAGATTCATTCTATGGAGGGTGGGCAAG